TGTGTTTTTCTTGTTGTTGTTAATTTTGCTTTGCTTTTTTGTTGAAAATTTTGTAGAATGTAATGTAATGGTTTTGTTATTTAGTTTTTGAAGTCAAAGGGACAAATCAGATATTACTAAAGATGTCATATTAATATTGCAGAGGCCAAATGGAGTAGGAATTACCCAGACTTGATAGCCTTTTTTGTCAGTTACATAATATTCAGTGTTAACTATTTCATGTAGTGTGTTATTTAGCATCACAGTTGAACACAGATAAAGTATTCAGTGAATCACATCATGCATAGCTTTGCACCATTTTGCTCTCAGGTAATGCACAGTGATCTTGCATGTACCTTATATCTTGTGAATGTGTCAGTCATTAATTGTGATTAGACAACAACTATCCAGGCATTTTTTTCTCCTTTTGTTTCTCGAAGCGACATCTTCAAACCTTGGGTATGCACAATGCATGCCATCACATGTCACTTTTGCAATAAACAGGAGGCAACAATCTCAAGTGAGGAGACTGCACTGGCATCTTGGCTCTTCCAGTCATCCCCAGCTTCAACCCACACCTGTAGCAGTGGTCCAGTGTCCTGTGCATGCATGGTGGGGGAGGGTTCACAGGGGTATTACACAAACACACACATACAAAGATACATAAAGACACATACCCCCCCCAATCAAAAAAAAAAAAAAAAAAAATCTGTTTCCACCTCCTGTCCTCTTGGAAGCATTGTAATGTTTACAACCTATACTCATACTTGGCCAAGATGTTTGTCCTTGTGCCCTGATTTGTCCTCATGTAGGAAAAGAATGCTTTAGCAACTTAGTGTTATAATTACAATAGCATATCATACATAGCAATAGCTTACAAAATGTTTGTCAATCTCCCTTCCTTCCTATTCCTTTTCCTCACCCTCTGCCTTTGTCTCCTCCCCCCCCTCTCCCTCCCTTTCTCTCTCTCTCTCTCTCTCTCTCTCTCTCTCTCTCTCTCTCTCTCTCTCTCTCTCTCTCTCTCTCTCTCTCTCTCTCTCTCTCTCTCTCTCTCTCTCTCTTCCTCTCTCTCTCTCTCTCCTTTCCTTCCCCACACCCTTCATCCCTCCCACACCCTTCATCCCTCCCACACCACCATCCCTCTCTCCTTTTCCTTCCCCCTCCCTCTCCTCCTCCTCCTCTGCCCCCCCCCCCTCCTCTCTCTCCTTACCTTCCTTCTATATCCTTTTCTCCATGATAGTAGCAAACATTATTTAGCCATTATTGTATTAACTGTATTTTTAATAACTGGGCCCCAATATCTTGTTACATTTTATTGCCATATTCTGTGTTTAAGGAGACCTTTGTATACTGAATGTGTAGGTGGTGTTTGAGTGTAGCAATCACTGGATTCTGTATTGATACATACCAAAGAGCTTGAAAAATATGATTTATTAGCTGATGTCGGGTTATCTCTCAGTTTTCTTATAATGTAATTCAGTATTTAAATAAGACGAGTGTATTTTTGTAGTTTGAAAAAAAATGAGATCAAAACTATTATCCTTTTTTGATGTGTGTATATAAATGTTATGTTGTTCATGAAAGTGTAATAGGGGTTCCTTATTTTGGAATCGATAACCAGTACAATTTGCTAGATAGGGAGTAATACAGAATCACACAAATTCTTGCAGAGATGACCACCCAAAATTCAGTTTTAGTAAGCAAGTCATAGTTGCTGGACCACGGAGTCAAGTATAGTAGTCTACGTGATCTCACCTGATTTCACTCTTACTGGATTGATTCTTTTCTTTTCTTTTCTTTTCTTTTCTTTTCTTGTTTTCTTTTTTTTTCTTATTATTAATACTGATACTGTTATTATTATTATTGACATAATAATTATTATAATTTTATTAATGATACTTAATGTCATATAGAATGAAAAAAAAAAGTATTTCCAAAATCAAGATAACCCTGTAAACAGGTGAGATGGGTAGGACTAGTGATTGACTCCTTGGTGACTCAGCACTTGTAGAGTCATCTATATGTAAATACAGTTATTACGCTATACTTAAATTGGTCTTGGCATGTACATACATGCCATCCCTGGCAGCATTGGGTTATGATTTTTTTTGTATTTTGAGGAGCAATTCCTTTTGCATTTCCTGAAGTTTTATGAACAATACACTGCTTATTGATAAATTAAAAACTATAAGTGTGTTTGTGTGTGTGTGTGTGTACAAAGATACACATTATATGGATATACATATACTAAAAATTATTTGCATCTTGTACTGAAGTATCCCTGCATCCATAAGCTTCTTGCTTACTGACAAGACAACTTTTGCAGTATGTAATTTTGCAGTCTAAAGACATAATGATATTTTTTTCTGTGCCAGCTTTTATCTGAACAGTGTATGCTAACATATTTTTCAAGTCTCTGTTAGAAATATATTATTAAGAAATAGATAAGATTTAATAATTTTGATTTTATTTGTTCTCCTAACACGATAATCACATGTTATCTATATCACATGCAATATTC